TGGGGGCTGGATCCACGGTACCCGGGTCTGCGGGAACCTCAGAGCTGAGCTTCTTGGTGCCATCCCCCTCCAGCCTGCAGACCCGCTCCGCCGCAGAAAAGGGCTTTCCTTTGCTTCCCAGCGCAGCCCGCTCTCTGGCCGCTGGAGTTCAAAATCACTCTTGGCTGTTAATCCGTGAAAGTCTCTGTTAGAAATAAAATAAAAAATATATAAGGAAAAGTGCCACTAAAAAGGTTTATGAGGCAGCACTTTAAGCTGCCGGCTTCTCCGCGCTGGGGTAGCATCTGTTTCTCATTTACAACTTGCCTGAGCCGGTAGCGAAACAGCGTCCCATCGGCCTGGCTGTGGGCTGGAGAGGCTTGGCGTGCGTGGCGAGGGATGGGGATTTTCTCCCTGGACACGCAGTCCTAGCGGGAGCCCGGTGAGGATGGCTCTCCTCGCATGGCCCAAGCATGATTTACTTCACTTGCCAGGCAGGGTGGCAAAGGGCTTGGGATGCCAGCCTGGGATTTGGCAGAGGGAAGGGAGACGTCAGCCCTTTTTTTAAAAAAAAAAACTTCTACTTTAGCTTGGGATTAATCATTTAGTGTCAGATACTTACAGGTGCTTAGCTACCTACTTCCATTAGATCAAAGCAAATTAGAGCTAAACAGAATGGAAATACCCGTGCCGGTCAGAGCCTTTGTTCTGCGTGCTGCAGTTCCCGGTATATAAATCGAGCAAAAACTCTATCTCCTAGTGTGTTGTGAAGAGATAATGTTTAGGATGTTCAGATCTTGTGGGACGCATGTCATACAGTTGCCAGGCACTGCTAGGTCTTTTTTTTTTTGCCCTTCATCTCCAAGCATCATTCAGACCTGTTGTTTGTGCTCGTGGGGGACTGGGAATCTGCTCATCTGTAGGATGATGTTTGCAGGGAGAGTTTCCTTTTGGTTTGCATACAGCACCTTGCAGAGCAAGGTCCTGAGCTACTGCAATATTAAAACTTGCTATTAGTTTACAATTGCGTTATTTTGGCCAGATAGTGGCAGAAGTGGAAACAAATCCTACTTCTCTGTAATTAATGTTTTAATGGCAGTGCTTAGTTTTCAGAATATATCGGTTTAGAGGCAGCAGCATTTTGCTCTTTTCTTTGCTCCTTTATTGCAATCACACAGATGTTTGGAATATTTTCACATGGTTTTCAATGGAAAATTTAATAGACTGCTTCCACTTTATGGTGTTTTGTACACTCAAAAAGCAGGTTCTTTTCAGGGACGGAGGAACTGGCCTTACCCATTTTCCCTGCCTCCAGCTGAGAACTCCTGAGCCTTAACTTCTTTACAAAATGATCATGGCAGACAAATAATTCTTTATTTCATGTCACCTTTATTTAATGCCCTTAGGTCAGTTTTGGTGAAATGTTTTTGTGCTGGTTTGTCTCAGCCCCCCTCCCTCCCTCCAGCCTCCCACTGAGCCACCTCTCTCCACCCCTGGAGCTCAGCGCCCCTCGCTTTTTCTGGTTGTCTCCCCAAATGCCTTTGCTCTGGCCTGGCAGGGTGATGGGTTGTACTGTAAGGCTCTGGCTGTAACATACTTCTGACTTTGCATTTGACTCAGAAAAATGCTTTCCTGGAGCAGCTCCCGATTGCATCCCGGAGGTGCAGAAAGACCTTGATCTGCAGCGGGAGCTGCTGCTCATTCGTTTGAATCGCCACGCTCGGCTGGAGCATCACCTTCCTCCTGTCCGTGGGGCTGGCAGTGTCCCTGTGTGCAGGCTGGCAGTGTCCCTGTGTGCAGGCTGGCAGTCTGGGTTTGCTCTTTCCCGGCTAATGCAAAAAGGCTTAGGGTGCCTGAAGGGGCTGTCTCCAGAAGAGCTGGAGGCTGAAGATTTTGAGGCCCAAAGGGTGCTGTGAAGAAGGCAAAGAACCGACGTCTCCGATCCCAGGGGCATCAGAGCTCATTGGGCATCTTTTGGGCCGGCCTTCCTCCTGGTCTGACGGCCCCCCCAGTGAACACCCAGCGGCAGATCTGGAGGTGCCATCGCTTGTTGATGATTTTACTGCTTTCACTGTGCCTGAAGGGACGGGTGGTGCTCCCGGTCACAGCCCAGCATCCACCCCACCGACACACACTGAGGTACAGCTGTACACAAACTAATTACATTTCAGTCCTCCCTCCTCTGCGAGGGATCCTGCCTCGGTATTGGGTCCTCAGACCCAGGGATGGCATGCCCACGCTTTGGAAAGCCGTAAGACCTTTACGAATGCCGTTTGCTGGAAGAGGCTCTGAGTTCGTTGCACGTGCCAAACCCTTTGCTACAGTTCCTAAGAGAAAAGGCCAGTTTTGCAGGCTAGACAGAATTCCAGGAGGCCCAGGGGGATCAGGATTAGGGTGCTTAATGCCATCTGTGAAAACCCCATCCCTATTCTTCTGGATACTGACTGCAACCAAATCCTCCCATCCTGGCACATCCTCCGCTTCCCAGAAGCACAGAGCAGGGCAGAGCGATGCTTTAGGGATAGGAAGGGCAGTTCAGGTCTCAATGCATTGCCCGGCGGAGCCTTGCACCCACCCAGGCAGCCGCCAGCTAAGGAAGGAGCTGTGGCATCAGCGTGGAGCATTGCAGCGAGCTGGCTGGGCGTTTCAGAAAGGTGTCGAAGCCACGGTGAGGGGTGGGAGCAGAAGTTAACGTCCCCTTGGAAATTAATGGCACGCTGGCGTAGTTTTACTCAGATAAAGTAGAGCGGAACAGTACCTGGTAGCGAGAGGGAAGCGCATCCCATGCTGATCAGCCTGGCTCCGAAGCAGTGCACGGCCAAGGGGTGTAAGGAGCAGAACGGGATTAGGAGGAGTCCCAGGGAGCGCAGCGTGTGGCTGGGAGCAGCCCATGGCCCTCCCGGAGCAGCGGGGCTCAGGCGGGGCTGGAGCAGCTGATAACGCGCTGCTGCCTCCGCAGATAAAACCCACGGCAAGCTCAGGGCGGGGAGGACGCCTTCGATTTATTCCCCGAATAGCGGTGTTCCTCCTTCTGCGACTGCGGGGAGAAAATCAGTGCCAGTCCCAGAGCAGGGGGACGGTAATGGGGGGGTTCTTTATTTCTGCACTCAACCTGCAGCGGCCTGGGTGGGCTGAGAAGCGGCTGGTCCTGCACGCTGGGGATGTCCTGGGACATCAGCCCTGCTGGCGGAGCCCCGGCCAGACCTGCGGATGCACCATCACCGCTGTAACCTCCCCCTCTCTTCTATTTCCCTCCCCCCAGGACTGTCCCCAGCTCTTCCCCACAGAGGAGATCCTGATCCCAGTGGGAGAGGTGAAACCCATCACGCTGAAGGCCAGAAACCTGCCCCAGCCCCAGTCTGGCCAGCGCGGGTACGAGTGCGTCCTCAGCATCCAGGGCGTGATCCACCGCGTGCCCGCCCTGCGCTTCAACAGCTCCAGCGTCCAGTGCCAGAACAGCTCGGTGAGCCGCCGAGGGGGGGAACGCGGCGAAAAGGTGCCCAAAACGGGTGTCAGCTCCGAATAGCTGCAAAGGGGGTGGGCTCGGCCACAGGAGTTAAACTAAGCCCAAATTCCAGGTGGGAACCTTGCCGTGGGCACGCGAGGGGTTTCGTGGTACCCGTTCCCTATCTGACTGCGGGGGGTCAGCGAGGGGAAGGGGGGGAGGAGGGAATGGGATGAAGGAGTTAAGGCAGGCTAATTCACGCGGGGGAGATAAGGCGAATCACAGACCCCTTATCGGGGAGCTGTCAAATTCCAGGTCACGGTAGCTGGATGAATACAGTAATGCTGAAAAGCAGCGTGGTGCAGGGAAGGAGGGGGAAAGGCAAACTGCCAGGGGAGAGAGCACAGTGCAGCAGAGAGAGGGAAATTATCTGGATGCTGCTGCCGGAGAAGCAAGCAGGGAGGGACGGCTCTCCTCCGTAGGATGGGGCTTAGCCCTGCCAATGATCCCAGCAGGATTTTACCCCAGAATGCCCAAAGTCACCGTGGCAGGTCATCTGGGATGCCGAAACACGTATGGCCAACGCAGGCTTCCCAGAGGCCGCCCT